TGTTTCTTTATTGCTTTCTACCTTTTATTTTCCAATGTACCCTTCCGTCTCCTTTTCTCCACATCACTACGTAATGTCTTTTCAAAGGGCACAGCTATTGTAACTTCAGAATCTCCCAAGTGGCAGTGTCATCTCCATAGAAATCACATACATTGTTATTTGTTTGTGTGTCAACTAAGCTCAACAATGCAGAGACACTGTTGAAGTGACAGCTTGGCGTTCAGGCAAGCTATTAATGGGCTGTTATGATATTCAGAGTTTATCTTGAAATCTGGGAATGATATAAGCAAAATTTGAAGAGAATAAAAATGATCTCCTGGTAACACCTTCTGGTGAATGGATTTGGCTTTCAGTGGAATATTTAGTTACAATGGTTGGACTCCTGGTTCTGATATTATCTGGAGTATAAACACGACTTGATTTGCCAAAGTAGAAAGTGATTTTTACCTTTTGTAGTAGTAGTAGTCGTCGTTGTCGTTATAGTAGTAGTTTTATGGTCGAATAATAAATGGGAAAAAAGTGCTGTAGATGAAACTGACTAGCTCTGCTAAAGAAATTGAGAATTATTTTGAGTAAAATAGTGAAGAACCTTTTGTTTAGTTCAAGGCTAGAACTATACCATATGAGCTACAACTTCATTTCTATAAGGCAACTTTGAGTAGGAAGAATTGGTTTCTGCATGAACTCAGGCACAAGTGGGGGGAAGATGGGGCCATTGCTACAATTGTCCTGCTTTCCAAGTGTGGTCATCCAAGCTGCCTTCTGAGGGAAGGGTGGAATCCAGAACTCCATTTCTTCAAATCAGCCAAGTGGCTCAACTGTTATTGTACCTGCTTTTCCTGTAAGCCTTGTTCCATGAGCATCCTCTTGGACTAGCAAAAGTCTGAAAGATTACTCATCCTCTATTTGGAAAGGATAATTTAGGAATTTCTGTACTTGGGATCTTTTTCCCCTTTACTATTTTTTATTATCTTTAAATAGTTGTACAAAGAGGTTTCAGCTCCATGTGTCACACAGTGTTGATCAGTGTCCTGTCTTCTATAATTCTTTCCCCTTCTCCCATCTATCTCCCATCTATCTATCCCATCCAGCCCTTCAACGTTCCTAGTTTCATTTTCACATGTGTACACTGATATTATGACCTTTTACCTAGAGTTTTTAGAAAACAAAAACATGTTACTATTTTTTTTTACTTAAAGTCGCCTAAGAATTATTATTCATTACCTTCAACAGCTTTGGCATTCTATACTGTGGCTATGCTCATCCTGTGCAAATCCTATGCACTAGAAGTGGGACCGGGGAACTTGCTATAAGCACCAGTGTCCATCAGACTGACTGAACCATGTATTTTTTTTCCTCTAACACTATGTTCTCAGTCTATTGTGGTTACTCTATGGGCCTGGCACACAGCTCAGACACAAGCTTGTACTAACTGGACCACAATTCATGTTACTTTGAAGATTTTTACTCCTCCCAGTGGAGAACAAACACTGACGTGGGAAAGTCTGATGAGACTTAGGGAGTGAGGTTTTTTTGAAGTTGTATTTTTTTTAATTCATGTCCCAATTTCGGCAGTTATAGACTTGTTTTCTACAATTATCAGTAAGAATTATCTATTCCTTTGGGGGTGGAAGGACCTTGTATTTATAGCTGCCTTTCGTCCAAAACCCTTGGGAGAATAAGCACAAATATCTTGAGGGTTCCTTATCAGGGTGGGTGCTGGGCACAGAGGAAGGGCTGGAGAATTAAAATCACACAACAATGTTCATTGTCCACAGGATTGCCTTCCTTGATACGGTTGCTATTTAGAAATCTAGTGTAAAAATGGAAGACACAAACACATTTCTTCAAAGAAAGTCTAAACAAGATAAACACTAGGATGTTTTATGTTGGGGTAACCACTGGTTAAACAATGTAATGGCAAAATTTACTTGATGGTGTCATAAAAGTTATGTGTTCTTCTGGATGTCTGAATAAAGCAAAGCATTCTTCTAAAAAAACATATGTTGAAAAATACCTGTGGCTTGCTTTCCTAATTTCCAAGTATGCTTTTGCTGATTGAGATCAATAGAAAATACTGGACTTTGCCAACCTCAGATGGAGAAGTTACCTTGATCAAGGATACTTATAAATATACTACAATTTAAAGTACCATCCTTGTCCATAAAGGAAGGAAAAATGAAGTTCCAGGAGCCTGTGGGAAATCAGCCAAATTCTTAGCTGGCTGTCCTCTTTCACTTACTGAAAATAAGATGAAATTATATGAATGTTCCTCAAAAGTACAGGATGATTTATAAGAGAAGGAAGCACTCAAACATTTAAATTTTTATTCTTTCCTCTTCCTCACTTGTTTTACAGCTAAGAATACTTTATAGAAGCCAGGCACCAGTGGCTCAACCTATAATCCTGACTACTCAGGAGGCTGAGCTATAAAAATCATGGTTTGAAGATAAACCAGACATGCAAATTGAAGAAACTCTTAAATTAACTAGTAAAAAAGGCTAGTTAGAGCAGCAATTGTCAACCAAAAAAGTAGAGTGAGAATGTGAAATCGTGAGTTCAAATCTAATAAGTTAATTCTTTTTTTTACTACAAACCCAAATGCAATTTGTCTGTTTTTAAATGTGAGTTAATTTAGTCTTCTAAAATCCAACCCCCTCCCCCATGATACCACTTTTCTGTTAGAGAAATGGTTTTATAGCAGTAAAGATACTTTCTAGGACTCTTTCCCTATGGTGATGGTTTCTGTGAAAAGCAATCACATGAGCATCAGTAGCTCTCAGTAGCCATATGACTAAAGTGCTTTTCACATGGTTCTCAAACATGCAAACCACTTGTAATAGGAATGGACATAATCCTAGCTACTTAGAGAGAGGATCACAGTTTGAGCCAACTCTGATAACAAGTTAGTGACAGCCTCAACTCAATCAAAAGCTGGGAATGATACAGTTAGCTTATTATCCCAGTTATACAGACCCATAAATTGAGAGCAGCCCTGGGAATCAATGAAGCAACCCTATCCCCAAAATAAAGGGTAGAGTACCTGCCTAGTAAGCACAAGGCCCTGAGTTCAGTTCCTAGTACTAAAAAAATAGATGTCATATGCCCTGCATGCCCTTTTCCATTTTCATGTGTGTGTGTGTGTGTGTGTGTGTGTGTGTGTGTGTGTGTGTGTGTGTGTGTGTGTGTAAAGGTGAGGTATAGAGGGGTTAGAATTACTTAAGAATTACATTTTTTTTTAGCAGTGTCCCCTCCTTCATTTTCTCACATTTTTTTTCCCTCCTGACCTCCTTCCTCCTCAAGTTGTATAGTTCATTTCCAACATTGTGTCGAGTGCATATTACTGCTGAATGGCCTGGCAGAGACTACAAAGGACCCTCCAAGAGGAAAAGAAAAAGGATCTTTGATTCCCAAATCAGAAATATGGCAAATGAAAGGTACATGCATGGATTTGCACTGACGACTCTTTGCTGATGGAGATCAATGGAAAATTTGCAGGCAAACAACAGCTCCAGAGAATTCCACCAACACCCCCGGAGATGCCCTGGACTTTGGGCTCCACCTTCAAGGCACCTTACAGTTATCCCTGCAGAGCAAAAAGTGTAGGCCTGCAAAGTCACGGGCTTCACCATTCAAATGGACAGACTGTGTCTCCATTAAAGCATCATCTTTATTCTCCTGAATTTCTTCCGTGAAATTAGGGTGTCCTAACTCCAGGACATATCTTTTAGGGCAGTTTATTACTTCAGCAGCTTCTGGCTACAGCTTTTGTTGTCAATTGTGTGTGTGTGTGTGTGTGTGTGTGTGTGTGTGTGTGTGTGTGTGTGTGTGTGTGTGTGTGTATGTGTGTATGTATGTGTGTGTGATTTCCACTTATTAGATTTCTTCCCGTGTGTGCATCCTCACAGAAGATGGCCTGGCAGGCCCTAAATGTTACTGCTTCACTTCACATAATGAATATTCAGAGGCTGCAGTCATTGAGGACTCAGGTGGCAAAAATAGTAAGGTGATTGAAGCAAATCCAACATGAAGGCAAATCTGCATTTTAGCGACTCCAACACCCTAATGACAGCACAGATTCCCATCCTCTGACCACCCCTTCCCCACCCCCCTGCCCCAGACCCCAGGAGGGGAGAATCCTGGGGAACCTCCTCTGAACCAGGCATCTGTTCCATACACCAACATGCTCACGCCTTTCTGGATGATGCGTTGTAATCAGCATATTGTTTTTCCAAGACAACAAGCCCTTCTGTGGTCCTTTCTATAAAATGCATTGGGGCTGATAACTCAGCATAAAGGACGTCCTGTTGAGAGCAGCAATGCATGCATTGTTTCCCTTACAATGCAGTCAGGATCTCCATAGGAACATAGAGCGTGGTTTTGGAAGTCTTATTTTATATATTTTGTCACCATCAGCAGTTGAACTAAAGTAGGAACCGCTCCATTCTATGACGGGTTAAATTATGCTCAGTGCACATCTAGTGGTGATGTATAAATTGCAGCCCTTTCTCTCTCTCTCTCTCTCTCTTTCTTTTTTGAAGGATTCTAAAATAGTTTTTCAGGATTAGTGCTGGATTTTTGCTTCTGCATGTGTGGTGACTCTTGATTTTTTTCCCTCTCGGAAGAGCATCCTTTGCAGCATTCCCCCTTCAGAGGATCACTTAGACACTTCCAGCTGGTGGCAGGGGATACAGCCATAATACAGCTCCTCTGTCCCAGCTGTCTTCACTACGGTAAATGCGTTAGGATGGCTGCACTCTCGTGCAGGGCTTCAGGTAAAGGAAGGTGGAGGATGAAGTCTGGACCCTGCTGTTCTGGTTTTTAAAACGCTTCAGCAGTCTCCCGCATCTTTGGCCTTTTTGAATGTCTTCCTGCTTCTCGAGTCAAAGGCTTCTCTCCAGTGAGTAGAATGCTGCTGTTCGCCTGATCAGAGGTGCCTGAGGAAATCACCTTTTCCAAGAAAACCCTGCGTGCTTTGACAGGATCTTTTTCAATGCATTATGGCTCATGCAGCCTCCCAATTAAAGAAAAACAGGGATTTAGAAATCAATGCTGAAGAAGAGACTGAGAAAAAAAGGAAACATCGCAAACGGTCCCGGGATCGGAAGAAAAAGGTAGCTATGTCTGCTAGAGCATATATATCTTTGCCTGGATTCTTTTTGTTGTTGTTTTCATCTCTTCCTGGCATCTGCAAGAAGCATGACAGGCTCTTTTTACATGCTGGGTAGAGTGTAAATTGAGTGTGTAAATGGGGAACAGAAGATAAAAGGCTGGTGGTTGAGCATGGCCACAGGCTGGGCACCGCAAGGATAGCTTTTCATCCTGGGGGTTGGTTGATGATTGCAGGGCTATGCGGAAGGTGTGCCTCACTCTACACAGGCCCCGGCACATTTCCATGACACATAAAGGTGTTGGGAATGAGTTAAAAGTACTTTCTTAACAGCCTGGTCAAGGTTAACTGTACTGGGGTGACAGGTTTTGCAGGAAAGGTCGGAGTGGCAGCCTTTGTACTTCTTAGAGGTCTCATGGAAAAGGAGCTCTTGTGTTAGAATGGTGTCACGTGTGTGTGTGTGTGTGTGTGTGTGTGTGTGTGTGTGTGTGTGTTTCTGAGGCAGATCTGTGACCTTAAAGACGTAGCACAAAAGTCATTTCCTGTTCTGCCTTCTTTTTCCTTTTTCTTCCCCTGTGCCCGGTATTTCTTTTAGGTGTTGTTAGTTAGATTGTGCAATAGAAATCAGCTGCTAGAAATAACTTTCTGTTGTTAAATTAAGGTACGATCACAGAGGTTTGATTTTTTTTTTCCTGTCTTTCTTTGCTTGCTGGGTCAGAGGGATTATCCTAAATGTAGGACTTCCCCCTGATACAGCCAGATGTAAGCCCACACCACTGATTGTGATCCAAGCCTGATGGGGGACCCTCATGGTCCCCTACTGAGACCCCAATGCAGATCTGTTCTGAGTCATCAGTGTTTGACTCCAGCCAGAGAGAAGTTACTGTTTTGTGGCCCGCCACAGAGTAACTGGCGATGAGCTGGTGAATAAGGCCCCAAAGCACTCCTTCCCCCTTGGTAGCTAATAAAAATGGACTGAAAAACTCGGTGATCTGGGTATGTAACTCAGGTCATAAAGCATTTTTACGTGTCTTTGTGAGAATTCCCAAGGGGAAGATAATCTTAATTTGCTCAGGGCTCTGATGCGTGTGCCTTCTTAGTGATGTGTGGGCTCCATCTACCACATGGGCCTCTCTTCAGGACAGACCCATGGATAGATTTGGTAACCCACACCTCCACCCCTTTTGCCATTGTCTTCAGGGTCAGGATCCTCAGGAGAAGGCACTGGCAGCTCTAGTGACAGAGCAGACCTGGAGACTTAACTTACAAGGCTGCAGTGGTTTTGCTGCAAGATGTTCAATGGAGATAAGTTTCCACGTTGATATTCTTGTAAATGAATTTCAGGAATGTGTTTTCATAAAAGTACAAACTTAGGATAAGGAATTCTTCCCCAGAGGTACTTCAAAGCCTTGCACAGCAGAGTTATGAAATGGTCAGATTTGGGTCTAATTGTGTTGTCTTGGGATTGTGTGAGAAGGTCACTATTGATTACCCCTTCACCATGAATCACATCCCCCTCCCCCACCCACCCACTACACTCGGATAAATGAGCTTCTAAGACACCTAGGGGTGAGGGCTTATGTTTCTGTAAAGATATGCTGTCATCATTAAGGTCAATGCTGACTGTAGGAGTTGTCAGCCTTCCTAGGCTATGTGCAGTTGTGTTTTGTAGCAGTGATGACTGACGTGCTGCCTTTGTGCAAAGGCTCCTGTTTGACTTGGAAGACAAACAGGGAAAAGGATGAGGCAAAGGGAGTTTCAGGACCCACTAAGCTGAAACAAATGCTTTGTAGACCAAAATGCTTTGTTAGGAGTACAACAGAGGCTGTCCAGTGTAAATCTCTTAGCAACCAGAAGGGAACATGGAGAAATATCAATATGACTATTGTAAATGTACAAGTGGATGTAGATGAGTTGTTCTCAAGGCACTCACAAAGTAGATCCACAAAGTGGCTCATGGATAACATGTTCATTGCTATGGTACTAGTTAATTCCTAATCCAAATAATTGATCTATTTCCTATTAAAGTTATAGCATGCTGAGGAAGACATAATCATTCTCAAATTATTTCATTGGCAGCTTTTAATGGACAAAGCTAAGAATCAATTACTTTGAAGTCATACTCTAGAGTCCCTTCATTGCTGTGGCATACAAAAACTTGATTTCTTACAAAGTGAACTGTTTTGACTTTGAGTTTCTTTTCTTCCCACTGTTTTTTCCCCTTCTAAAATCCTAATCAAGGCCTATGGGCTATTCTGTCTCATATTGTAGATCCCATGTTAGCAGAAAAATATAAGCAGCATTTAAATATAAGTGTGTTGGTTATTTGGGGGATAGTGGCTCTTCTTCATATGAAGAAAGGTCCTCAGGTATATTTTAATTACATGGAAGTAATAGTGGGTATTTTTTTTAAAAATCACAGAATAGAAAGTTCAAGGAATATCTGTGCTACTAGTATCTATTATTAGGAAAGTGTCTTATTTACAAAATGAAGAATTTAGTCCATGCAGTCCTGAGATTTGAATGTGAGCAAACCAGGAGAACTTTTTCTTGATAATACATATGCAGCACAACACCAAGCCACATGTGAAATTACTATGCATTGTGATCAGATCACAATATGCATCTCAACTTAACACCAGATTTACATTTTACCAGGTTTTTAAAAATGCAATAAATTACACATTCGGTCTGTTTTGAATATGTTAACCATGAATATGTGAGTAACAGTCAAAAAAATAAGAGTAGAGAACTTTGAGGAATTTATGTAATTAGTTGAATTTTAATAAGGATGTGTTTTATTCTTATCACAAGTTCTTTAAGTTAAGGTTTAAATTATGTAAGTCTAAGTGGGAGGAAAGACTCTGGTCATGGAACCCAGAGTCATTTACCTACCTAGTACATACTATAAGCCTGAGCAACCTTTCTCTTCTATCAGCCACTTTTCTGACTTGAAGGAAAAAAAGGAGTGTGTGTGTGTGTGTGTGTGTGTGTGTGTGTGTGTGTGTGTGTGTATGTATGAATATGTATGAGTGTGTATTGTGAGAGAAAAGATGATTATTAGTTTACAAACTGCTTACCAGAGTGTGTATTATTATTATCTCTTACCATACTTTCCCATGACTCCTTCTAGACATATCTTTTTCTCCCTCCTTTTTCCCCTTCCTGTTACACACACACACATGCACGCGCGCGCATACACACACACACACACACACACACACACTTGACCCCTTTCATGATCCCAGTGCTTTGGTTGGCAGCATGTGGAAGACATGCCAAAAGAGACAGAGTGTCTTTGCATGGGAGATACTGGACCCATGTCCTCTACCACCTAGCTGCAGTGTCCCTGGCCCATGGGTGTTGGCCAGTAGATGACCAGCCTATTGTAAATCCCAGCCAGTTTGAAGTCACTCACAAACAGCCTTCTTGTGGTGCAAGCTGTGGTACTATGCTGCCATCAACTTCTTTTGCCATGTTACATGTGTATTTTGTTCTCTCTCTCATGTATAATATGCATTTCAATAGTGAGGCCTAGGAGGAAAATTGACCCCAATTTACATAATAACTTTGTTTTTTACCATATGAATATATGTTTACATATTCACCTATAAGGTGGCCTGTGGAAGCATTTATGATCTTAGCTCTTTCTATGTCTCTGACATAGTGCTTAGATACTGAGATAAAGTGGCAATTAATTCCATGATTAATGTAATGTTTGATTAATGGTGTCCATTTCATATAATCAGTGGAAGGGCAAGAATAAATATTTATTGCCTTATTCTTGCATTCATGCATTCCTTCAGTGAGCATTTATTGAGTGACTTCTGTAAGGCATTGCATCAGATTTTGGAGACAAAGTGAAACAGAATAGTAGAAAAGATATAGTAGCCTCTATCAGAAATGGGAAATAAGCCAAGATTACTACAAATCACCCTACATAAGGCATGGAAAGTTGTCCACAGAGAAACCCACAATTGACCAGAAGAAACTGAGATAAGACCTCAGTAAGACTCCTTTATACAACTACTTAAAGATAATAATAATATTAAAGTTGAAAAGACTGAGCTTAAGAAGAGAAGTCAGGATATAGACAGGAGTAGAAGGACAGGAACCCTAGAGCAAAAATAATACAAGCGGAACAGTCTATTAGGATGTGTGGGAAACAGTGTTTTGGAAGGTCTGTGTCCAACAAGGCCTGAGTATGTGACAGGAAAATTCGGCAAGACCCAAAGCACAAAAACCTGTGTCTTCCATCCTATAAGGAATAGAAATCTTCCTGCTCAAATGAGGGTGACATTTCCACAGTGGCAGTATGTGGAGAGGATTGTGAATAGTTTTGTGGACTGGAGCCATTCGTCATACATCAGTGTTGTAGACAGCAGCAGGCAGAGCAATCAGGAAGCTCTGACGGTGATCCAGGCATGAGATGCTCAGAGTCTGAACCTAGGGAGACTCTGCCAGTGGAGAGGGGGTGTAAGATACAAAAGATATTTAAAGGCAGCCTCTGTAGAACTTGGCAATGGATTGTAGGTAGGAAGTGAGAAAGAGAGATCAGATTCTAGTGTAACTGCCAAGTTCCTGGCTTGAAGCGGAAGATGAAGAATTACATTTCCTGGATTCATGTCTTTTCTCCCAGAACATTTGTTGACCATTTATTGTGCCCCAAGTAGTTTTATATCACTATGTAGTTATTGACTCTTTTAATCTCTACACTAACACTACAATGAACATTTTTATCTCTCTGCTGGAATTAAAGGAACTGAGGCATGGTTGCTGGAGGCTACCACAGTGGCAGAGGTTAGAGTCCAATGTAGTAACTTACACTTTTGACTATATTATACAATGTGTACAATATGTGGCATTAATATTTCCACAACCACACATCAAAGTGGGCTAGTTTCTTGTAAATGACCATTTGTTACTGAGACATCTAAAACCTTAAGAGGCTTCATTTCTCTAACTGTAATGTTTTGTTTTAAACTTCATGTTTTGTTTTAAAAT